TAATGTCACTACACCTTATAGGTTTGAACCATCAGAGTTTTCATGATAAATTGATGGAACTAAGTTAATCAGTAATTAAGATTATTGTATGAGGCCATACATAAATCGTAACCATTAGGATTAAACTCATAAGCCATTAGTGCATGTTCACATTAGGAATAAAATTCATGTACCTCTTTGATTGATCGTTTGAAAAAAAAACATCTCAAACTAAACCCCACTACTCTATATACTTGAATTAATTAAAGCGAATTCAAGCACGGATAAACTATTTTGAACCCCAAATAGACGTGTATAACTTTAAAGCTTGAGATTTTGGCGTATACTTCAAAACAATCAAACTTCAACAGGAAAGTTGTGGACATGTAGAAAAAGTGGAATACATCTAATTTCCCGCACGGTTTGCATGCTATTGCATAAAGGTATTAGTCCAATTTTAAAATATTTTCATAAGCATAAACTTTCAAAATACGTACATATATAGGGTCATATTGGCTAATCTGCTTATTACCAACTGATTTTGAGTCATAATTTCAAAATTCTTCGCACTTTAATTTGTCCTAACAATTTATTCATTTATATAATTTTTCGACTGAAAATTACCATTCCTCTCTTCTTTTTTTTTGTTTTTATGTAAAATTACCATTCATCTCTAAAACTTCAATTCATAGGCAATTCCATTCTAAAGGGACATCCTATTCACCAGTCCTAAAATCTCCAATAAATGACAAAAAGTGAGATAACGAAGAGTAAATTTTTTTTTTTTTTTTAGAATCAAGGGATAATCCGGACTTTTACCATCCGACTAATCCTCCCGAAGTGAGTATAGCCATCGAGTAGCCCACTCACGAAATTTTCTAATGGGTCTAAAACTCTTGGGAGGGGAATTGGACTCTTGCCTAGACTCATAGAACGAAGAGTAAAGAGTTAATGAAGAGACTATATTTTACCAGCCACAGCGAACTCGACTGGAAAAGTCGATGGAGGAGTTCTAAAAGAAAATTCATCACCGTGGCCACCGCAACGGTAATAATAAATGGTGTTAGGTGGAAGAGGACCAATTTTGACATGGTGGATTTTTCCGGAGCTGTAGAAGATCAATCTGTAAGAAGTGGATTCTCCGGCAGCTTTTTTGTCGTACTTTTTTGGACGTTTGCCGTACTCCACTATCGATGCAACGTTCATGTCGTCCGTTACGTATGTTACTCTCATGTGGTCCTTACCCGCCAATGATACGTGCACCTATACATATGCATAGTTAATATATATGTAATAGAATGAACAACAGAAAAGGAGTACGCATGTCATATTCCATAGAGAAAAGTTAGAAGATGAAAAATCTATAGGAACTAAGACAAAGAGAGGCAATATGAAAGATATTGAAACAAATGAACCTGTTGAGGATGGAACTTTGGACGGCCGTGAGAGATTATGAAGTTGGGACGAGGCGGCTGGCGGGTGAAATTGGAATCATGCTGATTAGCTTGAGATACAAAAGGAGAGAGGAAGAAGAGAGTAAAGCTAAGAAAGAGACCAAATACTTTCATCTTCTTTTTAAAAGAGTTTTGGGTGAAGGTGAGGATGCAGAAGATGTGATGAATTGATTATATATTGAAATATATGTAGGTATCTTCTTTTCAAACGAGTTTTAGCTAGGTTTGTTTATACAACTCGTCAAGTCATTCATTTCG